TTATTCTGATAGGAGACCTCTGCACCGGGATGAAAACCCATCTGCTTGTTACCTCCACAGCTTTCTTTGAATACAAGGAAGATGGCAGCAGATTTCCAAACCCCCCCTCCTACAGTGTAGCCACCACCCTGCCCTCCTATGATGAAGCTGAGAGGAGCAAAGAGGAGGCCGTCATCCCCCTGGTCCCTGGCAGAGTCACGGTACGCTGATCTCACATTTAGAAGTTCAGACTTATTCCTTGTCCAGTATTAATACAAACAAAACAGATTGGCCGTAAAGCGTTAGTAATATTTCTACATGTTTCTTGTTTCTCAGGAGGACGACTTCGTGGCCAGGGATGACTTTGAAGACGCTGACCAGCTGAGAATAGGAAACGACGGCATCTTCATGCTCACCTTCTTTAGTAAGAACTCTTTAACTGTTGACGTGCATTCAGTTTCTTTTTCATAGAGCCAACTTATAACCAGATGGTATTAAGTTATTCATATATTTCCAAAAATCTGCTTACTGAACATAACAACAAATGCTATCTCTTGTCCTTGATCATTTTGTGTGTAGCTCTTGTCTGATAAATTATTTTCTTATATGAGTGTGGCTCACTCTCAGAGGCTGTTGCATAATGTACTGGGTGTAAATGCCACGCTTTGGTTTCCTGCAAAAGACGGAGGAGGAGAAGAATGTGTGCCAGTCTGTTTGACGACTATAATACAACTGACATCTTGGATAGAAATCTCCTTCTGTCTGTTAATCATGCTCTGAAAATGACATATTATCCCTCTTTGTTCTGTCACCAGTGGCATTCCTCTTCAACTGGATCGGCTTCTTCCTGTCGTTCTGTTTGACAACCTCAGCCGCCGGCAGATACGGAGCCATCTCCGGCTTCGGCCTGTCCCTCATCAAATGGGTTCTCATTGTCAGGGTAAGAGCTATGTACCAGTGTTCAGTAAAGGTGCAGGACTACTAGTTCTTATCTTCTTTACTGTACAGGGATGCCCAAACTCTTAGAAGGGTCTCACGTAACCTACACACGGTTCCGTCGCGTTGACGCTTGCCGGTGGGCGTGTGGCCCTTGGGGTTAACGACCAATCACATTAATCTCCCGCACCGACACACAGAGCACGCGGTTTGATTGGCTAGCGCTTGTACGGGCATATGATTTTATTGGCTGGCGCCTCTGTCGACGCTTGAAAAGTTGAACTTTTCTCAACTTTCCCCGCGAGCAATGGAGGCAAAACGAAGCAACGGAAGTTACGGAACCTCAATTCAGTTGGGCAAAGCGTGACGTCACCCCATTCAAAGTGAATGGGAAGCGTCTCTGACGGAGATGTGTAGGATGCGTAAGAGTTTATGGATCATAGGTTGAATTTGAATCATTGCACAGCTACTAACAGGTATTTCTCTTTGTCTTTCTTCCAGTTTTCTACCTACTTCCCTGGGTACTTTGATGGACAGTACTGGCTGTGGTGGGTGTTCCTGGCCCTGGGTAAGTGAGACAAATTATTCAACATTTTCTTACTTTAAATATAAAATCCTTTAATTTCCCACATGATGTTACTTTAAGGTGATTGTCTTGCATTGATGTGTTCTCCTGGCGCTGCAGGCTTCATGCTGTTCGTCAGAGGCTTCGTTAACTACTCCAGGGTGCGTAAGCTGGCGGACCCCGCGTACGCCACTCTGCCCCGGACAAGGGTCCTCTTCATCTATTAGAGGTGAGGGGCTCACACTCCTCCTGGTGTGTCTTCAGAGACATGCGCACCAAAATGATAATATTAAGGTTCAGATGGGTATGATCTTACCCAAATATCTGAACAAATTGAGTTGCATTGTGGGTGCTGTAGTTTTTACAAGGAAAATAGTGAATAGAATACAAAATATAATATCTGTGGTTCTCCTGTATTCAATTCAGATATTTTTCCGTCCATCCTTTATCCAATCAAAGATAAACTGAGCATTCTTTTAAAAAATGTTACTGTCATATATAATTATTTTAAGAAAACATTAAGATAAAAGATCCAGTGTGAAGAATTTGTGGCATCTTGCCATTCTTAAAAGGGATTTGCAGAACCTACTGTTGCCTAATGTAGAATAAAATAAGGAAAGGCCCTTTTTTTTTTAAAGACGACAAAAACACATACAGTGGATTCTACACTATTTAAAACATACTTATGGATATTATATTCCCTTTCTGCCAATAGATTCCTCCAGACCGTCACGCTGGCCCTTAAAGGGACATTTCTGTTAGGTATTTTAGCCGGTTTTGATTATTCATGACAGGAACATTTCCTCGGGGGACTGCTCAGCCTCTGGGGAGACCATGATGCAATTTAACCAAGCATTCATTTCAATTCCGTGTTTTCTGGGTGTACACATGACATGATGTTAACTTAAGTAGTATTGCATAAATCTTGTCAGTCTGCATTATTAATGAGCACAAACCACAAAGTATGTCATATTAAAACAACCCTGTAAGACTTGATTTGTTCATCTTTCTTTATCCTAAATCCAGGATGTTGGAAGTTGGACTGGGCGAGACCAACAGGAGCAGTCACACTGAGAAGAGTTTACAAGTTGAAGTGAAGACACTCAGCCAGAAATCAGCCTGACGAGTCATAGACGAAGACGACCCTCCATGAAATATTCAGGAATTATATCACTTTGTTTTATTTTGTTTTGAAACTTTATTAATGGAAAATGGTGAACAGTGATAGTCCCTTGATGTACTCATTAGTGGCGAATGTTAAGTGCTATTTACATCTCTGTCTGTAATGTATAAGTAATGCCTTATATCATTTGAAAGTAGCGTACGAGCATGCATCTGCCCTTAAGGTCAATTCATAGGGAACGTCTCATGTTGGTGACACATGAAGCCAACAGGTTTGAATTATTACAAGGATAGATTTACCACAGCATGCAACACTGTAATCTGCACTAATTATGATTTCATCGTGACTATTATAGGCTGTCTTTGGATAACACATACACTTAAAAAGCAAGCTCTCATTAGGCTGTAAATGCTGATGCAGCACATATTTCACTCACCTGTTGGCTTTAAGTAGTGTTGCTCTTTTGTTTAGCCAGGAGGGGGCAGTGTTGTCCATTGCTTTTAGGAACTGTTCATTGAGGGCATGTCATAACGAATCATACATGCTTGTGATTTAAGACACACTCAGTAGAGTTCATTAAAATTACATACATGTATCACAAGTTAGGATCTTGCCTGTTTGCTATTATGTCGACAAAAATCAGGTAAAACCATCCACCTTGGAAATGGAATTTAATTTGCAAATCTGATTTTAGATGATCAAATTTCAGATTTTAAACGTGACCAAGCCAGACACGAGACGGCCAGAAAAGCCAAGCAACAAACCCTGGAGCGTTTCGGGTTGATATTGAAAGGATTCAGAGTTCTTGGTCAGTGGCAGGCAGCGAGAAAGATGATTTGTATGGGCGTGCGAGCACATTTTATGGTCCATGTCCTCAAAAAGCTCATGCAACAGCCTGACCTTTCCATGAGTCGTCAGTGAGTCAGCATCTTGTTCATGTCGGTGGAAAAGCACAGAAGAGTCTGTGCTGTCTGGGTTTCAGCCGATAATGATCTCGCTCAGACACTTGAATCAAATCTTCAAAAAATAACTCAAATTCCATTTCCAGGTGGTGCTTTTGCCTTAAGATTTAATTGGTAGATGGGGAAGCTAGAAGCTAAATCAGTTTTTCTCATCATTTCTTATTCTTTTTTTAAATGATTAATAGGGTGTAAGATGTTAGCTTTGTTGTGGGTATCAAACTATATCAAAGAATGTTGTATGCAGGTGCACTTTTAGAAACATAACTAATAAAACCCAGAGGGTGTTCATCATTATTTTAAATCATAGACATATAAAACAAGGCGTGACTGACGCAGTGGTTTCTGTTTGATATTCAGTAAGGAGAAGGTTTTCCAACCATTGTTGTCAGTCTAAATAGATTTTAGCCTAGTCAGTTATCTTCATACTTCTGCCATGGCTTTGACACAGACACATTTAGCTTATTTCTATGTGATGTAGAGCTACCACCTTGGGGTTTTGTTGTTATGAAACTGTACAAAGTTCGTTTAGTGTTAAATAAATGTCACTTTTAATGCGTCATTTCTGAGTTGTCTGGATTGTGTTACCCATGGCCGTGCGAAGTAGGGGTGCTGAGGATGCTGCAGCACCCCCTGATGGAGGACAGGGAATCTGCACGTCCACAAGATTAAATGGAAATATAATACAAAAAAAACTAATTTTCGGCCTTGATGTAACAACATTCATAATTAACTAAAGATAACACCCTTTTCACCCCGGTTACATTTTCCATTTGCCCTGAGAGGCTCAGTGAGGTAAAGGACTCTGAGTGTAATAACTTACATTATACAAATGTAATGCAATATATAGACTGTTTAGCTTAGCTGATCAGCAGCCTATGAGCTCATTC